ATTCGCAAAGTCTGACATCGGCCTTATTAATCGCTGCGAACATCACTGTGTTCATCATTCTCATATTGCAATCATCTTCATTTCGTTGATTCTTTTTTCCATAATTCCGTGTCTTCACTAAACAAGTCCGGCAAACACCATCTCTTCTATTCTGCAGTTGTTGATTCCACGGATCATGCGGTAGAAGCCTATAAAATAGTTCGGTGCTATGTGGAACTTCACATCCAGATTTTATATCGTTCAAATCTTTGTGTTCATCCAGAATCCACTATAATTACGCGTTCACTTTAAGGTAATGATCACGATGTCTGTAGGGCGGAACGGTTTAGATGACGTCGTTGAACGTCATTGGTGGACTGAGCCCCGCAGTGCGTGAAGGGAGGGAAGTGGTTGCGAAAGCCTTCCACCAATGACGTCCAGTGACGTCATCAAAACCGACGCCCTCTAATCATTGTGATCCCTGCCTTTAAGTTCACAGCATGCAGCAGACTCACCTTTCTCTCCCCAGTCGTCGTGCCACGAGTTAGCGATAAGCCAGTAGGGTGTTCCTTTCTCTTTTCCCCATCCGATTATCTTCACAGCATGACCACCTGTCATTCTGCCAGCGGTATGCTGTAAACAAATGTTTTAAAACTTATTCAGTACGTAGCCCTACGAGCAGAGATGATTGAATGGTAAGTGGCGACAATTTCTATGCGCACGGTCCACGAGTTGAATTTAAGATAACAGAGAAATTGAGGACTTCTACTGTTGCGAGATGGGCAGTGCCATGGCAATGAGACAATGCGCGTCGAGGAGAGGGGACAGTCGAAAGAGTATGGGGACAAGGGAGACGCAGACACGACGCTTGACACGTCTTTTCAACCACAAAGTCGTTACATAATCAAGTCCGTAGGTGACTTTATCCTACTGACTGATGGAGCCACAACTGTGGACAGTGCATTCAATGTTGGGTAACAGGCACTACGATTACTGCTGAGGTAATTTGACATTTAGGACCATATCTGCAATTTTACAAGGGAACTAAAAGCTTTACCTTATATATTCCTGATTTGTAGTGCGCGAAGTCTTCATAGACGATGAACCCAGCCACTACAGGTCCGTTCTTCATGATATCTCTCTGGATTGCTTTCACATTATTCGGCAATCGGTAAGCGCTCTTGCCTGCAATATTTAATGCGAAGTGCTCAAAAAGTTTCTCAGATTTGGATTGCCAGCAGCTTTAAAGCAGCAGGAAACCAAGTGCAGAACAGTATCGGGGTTTTTTTTTTCTAAGGCAGGCTCCGAAGGCAGGGGGTCCTCGTTGAAAATGAAAGCAGAGGTGCTGAGATTGGCAGTAGTGAAGAAATACCGAAGGAAAAGGTCGCCATTGTTATCCCTGTTGAGTTCCACTTTTAAGCGAGTATCATCGGTGATGACGTCATCAACGCCAAGGCCCTGTCTCTCTGCTAAAACGGCTAGAGTCAGACGGCGAGAAGACGACAGCTAGGGTGACCAGTCAGTGGGCGGGAAGAGGGACAAAGGATTGAGTGAAGCCTTTCTATGGTGCTGTGGGCACCTCCTGCGCCGCGAACGCGTTACCATTGTTTTGCAGGAGTACAGCCTCCACTTAGAGTGTGTGCGTTTCCCTTTTCTTCAGCGTTCATTTTGTCGAAACAAACATGCCTTTAAGTTTTGTGCTGACTATATTCCGAAATTTAGTCGGGAAAGATTGAGAAACATTGCCTAACAGGATGTGTAATCATTCCGAGTACTGTACAGTTCTATGACGAAAGACTCGATAGGAAAAAAGCACCGCGCTTGATGACCCTATGAGATAGCTGAGCTGGAGTACATTAGCGGAGGCCCGTCGCGCGACACGAAGGCAAGGTCAGTGGACGACTAGCCAGTGCGTACTGTCGTATTACTAACTAGAATGTACCACTTCACGTCCCACATCTCGCAGCACGCGCTGCCACTCGTCCGCTGACTCTGCTTTTTGCCGCGCGACGGGCCTCCTGTCGGATACCCAGCTGAACTGGCCTCGTGTAAGTTATGGGCTATCTATAAAAAAGTGTACCGTAGTGCTTATCCTCCGTTGGTATGGTTTCAGATACCCGCTCTGACATGTTTTTTGACACTTTGGTGTTTTCGCCAAATCGTAGCATTCACCATAGTACGGCTCTGTTCCGAGCCTTCACATGCGGGGAACACTTCGTAGGGCGACAACAACCCTGAAAACAGTCCTACATCAGGATCTTATGAGCAATAAATGCCGATGGTAGTGACCTGTTTGCGGTAATTTCCACCGGTCAGCAACACCTATCGGCGCTGCAAATTTGCCAAGTTTTCATTCGGCCGTAACCACCATGCAAATCTGAATCAGCGATATATCCAGGTATGTGGGAGGTTCATTTTTATCAAATTGTTTATTATTTTCATCCAATTTGTTTATTTGTTTGTTTCTGCTCCACTGGTAGGTGACGTCAAGGGTCCAGTGTCCCGCTCTCACGTAATGGTCCAATCCCAGCTTAAGGGTTTGTCTCCACTTGAAAATGAAATATGAGCTGCGGAGAGGAAGAAATCAGAAGGATCCAAAATACTGAAATTGGGGACTTCCTTTTCTTGTAAGGTCGATCGTGCAACAACGAAGAGACACAGCGCGATGAGGAGAGGCAATGCGCGAGAGAGCGTGTCGTACGAGAGGGCGCAGACACCGAGCACAAATGGCACCGATTGCAGCAGACATGGCAAGATCGATCAGCAAGGAAACTGAATGGAGTGGTCTGTAAGGGAAAAAAGACAGCAAAAGAAACTCCGATTACGCCCTGAACGAGGCCCCTCTCTTTCGGTCCCATTCCACCTTGGAAGAAGGGCGTGTTTGGACGAGTTTCCCAAGCTGCTAGCTCCAGCTGCTCCAGTGCCAGTGCGCTTGAATCGCTGTGATTACATTGGCGCAATGGCAGCGGCGCTCTCCTCGCGACGCCAGCGCGGCGGCCAACAGCGGAAGGCGGGGTTTGCGGACGGGGGCGTGGCTTGCGGTTCTAGCAAATTCCTTGCATTTTTTGTCGCTCACTTT